TAGTCAGGATGGCCAGACAGAAAGAGACATTGGACACCAGGCAGAAAGGGTGAGTTAGCCACACGAATATCTGCAGAGGGAACATTCCAGGTGCTCAAATCCTAGGTTCAAACACAGTGTGATAAGTGTTATATAAACATTTGCACAGAGTCACATGATAGCAAACAATACTGTCATCGAATTTAGGGTTTTAAAGACCCTCTAGGAGTTAGATAAATGAAGAAAGAGGGGAGGGCATACCCCATGCAAGAAATAGGAGGCATTACGACATCTGCATTATGGGCCTGTATACAGACTGAGTGCTCTAGTGTTGCCAGCACCTTCCACACCTCTGCTCAGAACAGACAGGATTTAGAAAGAGAAAGTAAGCATGCCTGGGGACTGACAACAAGGCCCTTGCATTTGGCATGTGAATACTAAATGCGGATAATCATGGCATGGTTTAGAGGAAAGACAAATAGGGAAGGGTCAGGGGACAGTGGGTGGTCGGGCATGAGGTAGGTTCTGTACCGGGAAAGATGGTTTAAAAAGGGGAGAACTATGGCAGCAGCTAAAATGTGCTCCAGAAAGCCCAAGAAAATTTCAGATTAGGTGAGAAGGGCGCCTGAGAGTGAAAAGTGCAGGAGCAGAGACGACGCAGGCTGGGTCCTAGAGGAGACAACACGGGGCCATGGAGATTTCAGGCTCCGGTCGGTTGATGTTTTAGCCTTTCAGAACTGGCAAATCCATTTCTCCGTATGGAAGAATTAGAGCCTTTGGTGAACAGATATAAATATTGAAGGGAGATTGAGAGAGGTGAACAAAAGCCTGCCCTCCATCCATATTGCAAGCAGCAAGACCACCTGAGGGCTTCGATACCTCTAGAGAGAAGGTATTTTCATTTTCACAGTAGGTGACATGTGACATAGAGGCTGAGACATGTGAAATCGATGATGTTTGCTCACTGTTGACTTAAGAAACACCATTTTATATGATTCAGCCTCATGGCCCTCGTTTCAAAGGCATGACTTCTGTGCAAATAACATGGGTGACATAGCACCCACAACAAGCATGCTGGCAAAAATTACAAAGAAAAAGCTAAATGGTTGCATAGTAACCACAAAAAATGATCACACTTATTTTCAAATCCTGCTAGATTTTAGACCATGTTTGGAAATGCCTCATTCTTGGTGTTTCCTCTGCCACCAATTTCCAGTGCAAGGTTCTGTCTCTCTGGTCATGCTCTCCTGGGTCACCTGCCAGCTCTTCCGGTGCCCACCCCGCCCACCTGCACCCAACGTCCGCCTTTCATGCATTCTGCCTTGTTTCCTGCACTGTGGGCCCCCACCCCCCACTGCCAGACCTGCTGTGTACTCACAGAACTAGATTTTTTTTTTTAAAGAACCTTCATTCTTTACCTTTACACATCTTTAATATGCCCTTTAGCCAATGGCAAATGAATTGCTCTGTTTCGTAGCTGAAGACTGTGCTTGCGTGAGGAGACGGGTAGCCTTTTTCTTTCTGGTACTAACTATACGTGGTTAGATGCTTAGAAAAGAAGTTACTCCTTTAGTTGGCTAAGAAATCACTTGGTGACTTAGAAAGTCTACCTATAAGGCTTCATTGATGTAGGGCGTGAGATGATCATTGAGATGTTTGATCCAGATTTTTTTTTTAATTATAAAGTCAGAGACATACGTTTAGTCCTTTGGAAAGAAATTATATAATTAAGATTTGAAAGTTAAATATTTCTTTTAAAGGATTTTCCTTGGTTTTAAAGTTTTCACATGATTTTCATACCGTGTTTTAACCTTCACTAAACATCGCACTGATGAATCCTCAAACATGGAAACCAAGGGTATGGTCGACACTGGACTTGCCCGGCCAGGGTCTAATCCAGAGCCCCTGCCTGTGTCTCTGGGACCCCACCTCTCCCAGAGACACCTAGTTCTTATACAAAGAGATGCAATTGAGAATATTTCACAGACCAGGTTATATTCTAACTCCACTAATAACCTAGCTTTTGAGGTGTCAAGTCCAGCGAATGATGGGGTCATTTTCCCCAATTTTACCCATTTTTACCCTCGTCTCCACTTTCTTCAAACACTCTCATCATCCTGAAAATTGCATTTGTAAAGGGAATGAATGTCAGTCAGGTATTTCTTTGCCATCCCTCAAAGGACTTTAGTAAAGAAGAACTGATATTATGTTCCCCTTTTATTTTTTCTATTGTGAGCATCTTAATTCAGAATGTAAAGACAAATGCCATTTTGTATACCAAATGAAGCCTAAAAGTATTATTAGATCCTGATTTGAATTCATTTTTATACTTATCTCAGTTTTGATAGTGATATGTACTTATTTCAGTTTTTTGGCTTCAGTCAGGATATGCAAATTAGGTTAGAAGTGAAATCCACCCCAGGCATAGCTAGCCTAGCCCACATGACAGGCTTAGCCTTAAATACCAAATAGGAATGTTTCTATTTCTCTTAGGACTTTTAAGGGAAGACACTGGAAGCCAAAATCTCCATAACAACATTTTTTATAATAACTTATTATTGTTCTATGACCCTATTAGGTATAAAAATCATATTCAACTTCTTCAACATTAAATGTGATCAGTTTGGGGGTTAAAGATTTGTAATAAAAAGAAACACCATTGAAGAAAAACATAGAAAAAGGAACACAAGATAGATTTGGACACATGCAGTACTTAACATGAAAAGAAAGACTTAAAAAAAAAAAACTTAAAAAAATTTCCTAATGGCTTTAGCATATAATAAACTCCAGAAATATTTACATGATGTTTTTTTAAATCTAGAGCTTTCTTTCCATAGACTCCAAACAATTTATAAATATTA